ATGATCATTAAGTTATATTAGAATTAATATTTTTGAATAAAATTTTAAAATTTATAAAACAGTCATTAAACTTCTTTGATAGTTATTAAATTTTATGAAACTATTATAAAATATCATTAAACTTATCGAATTGTTTTAAAATATTCTTTAATTTATAAAAAATTATCATTATTTTATGACATACAAAGTTCATTTTATAACAGTTCGATAATTCTAATAACCATTTTATAAGTTTTGAAATTTAAATATTTAAGCTTATATTAAAATCAAGTACCTAAAATATATTATTTTTCATTTAAGTACCTAAAGTATTTTTCTATCAAAGTAAGTACCTAAAATTATATTTTCGGTCAAAATATGTATCTAAAGTATTTTTTTTGTCAAAATATATACCCAAAGTGTTCAATCTTTTTCATCTAAATTTTAAAAGTTGACACGTGACATTAATTAGAGAATACTTTATGTACTTAGATAAAAAAATTGAATATTTTATGTACATATTTCGATCAAAAATACTTTAAGTACTTAAATAAAGAAAAATTAATATGCTTTTAGGTATTCATTTATAATATAAGCCAAATATTTATAAGAAATTATTTTAACATTATCTAATAACTATTTTATATATTTACCCATTAAACAAAGGATAAATTACACAATGATCCCTGACTATATGCTGCTACTTTGTTAAATTTCCGACTATTAAAAGTTACAAAATGGTCACTCGATTATTTATATATTCCAAACTCATCATTTTTATTAAAAATTGATAGCAATCTAAGCTGTAAGTTAACATGCTGACTTTGATATAATAAAATATGATCCCAAAATCTTAAATGACTATCATATCTCAATCAACAGGTTAACATCCAGCATACTATCATCAATATTTTAACGAAAAAGGATGAGTTTGAACATATAATAGTTGAGTGACTATTTTATAACTTTTAATAGTCAAGAGACTCAATAAATCAATACCCTACAATTAGGGGATCATTTTATAATTGTTAATAGTTGAGGGATCACTTGTGTACATTAGCATAAAATAAAATGATTAGTTTTCGTACTTGTCACAAAGAGATCAAGTTCATGATTGAACCTAACTTGAAATAATGTTTGAGCTCTGAGTCAGCAACAGCCACCTCTCCTTATCTTAATATATATATATATTTATATTATTCACAGTTTCCGATTTTTCTATAAATTCATTCGTTTGAAACTCCTCGCTCGGACCTCTGCCTTCTTGCTTCAGCTTCTCAAAAATCTTCATTTTTCTCTCTTGAATTCTCTCTTCATCTGTTTTGTTTTATCAAATGGATTCTCCTTTCAATTGCATCTTGTTTGGTAAGTTTTTACCGCTTATTATTTTCTTCTTTTTACTCGAAATTTCCGCTTTCAAATTCTTTTCTGATCTTTCGGCTTGGATTTTTTTCTTTGGTTCTTAACAGATTTGGATGATACTCTTTATCCTTCCAACACTGGATTAGCTCAAGGCGTCAAGAAAAACATCGACGGTTCGTGGTTTTCATTTCATATATTTCTCCAGAACTCGCTACTTATTTCGCACAAATTTAGAAAATCGTAAACTATTTTCTGCTCTTACTGTTTCTTCAGATTTTCTAATTGAGAAATGTGGATTTCCGGCGACGAAAGCTTTGAATCTCAGAGTGGAACTCTTCAAAACTTACGGCAGCACCCTCGCCGGTTTACGAGTAATTACCAAACTTGTCTCTTTCCGGCGTTAAATTGTTTGGAATAATTGCAGATTTAATTCTAAAAAGAAAATTGTTTAAAATTGTTTCTGCAGGCGTTAGGCTATGACATTGATGCCGATGATTACCACGGGTGAGAAAGACCTTCTCCAACCTTCTTTTTCCTCTATGTATTTAATATAAATAAATAAAAATTATAGTTGAAAAATTGAAGATAGATGAATTGAAATATTAATTGTAATCATCAAATTCGATTAATTTAACGACTAATTTTATATTATATCTATATCTTAATTCCAATATTTGACAAGAAAATAATTTGACTTCATTTTGGTTCATTGGCAGTTTCGTCCACGGAAGATTGGCGTACGACGTGATCAAGCCGGACCCTCAGCTACGTAATATGTTACGCAGCATCACCCAAAGGAAAATCGTAAGTCATAAGGGAAAAAAAACAAAATCATTAGAATTATTGAGTAATTTTTGAAGCTTGAAATTTAGAAAGAAAAATTGTTGTTGTGATTGCAGATATTCACGAATTCCGATAGAGTTCATGCGATTAAGGTTATGAGAAGGTTGGGAATTGAAGATTGTTTCGATCAAATCATATGTTTCGAGACACTGAATCCTAACCTCTCAAAATCAAAGCGTCCTGATGAGTTCCCTGTCGTTCTCAAACCTTCCACGGAGGCCATGAAAATTGCTCTGCACGTCTCCCGTGTTGATCCTCCACTCACTGTAATATTCCTTTCTGAATTAAAAATCATACATAAAACTTATTATTTTATATACCGATAACAAAATAGAATATTATAAACGAGATTTTAGTATTGTAATGTATTCTATTTAAGGATATAAACCTTACACTTTAAATTTGAAATTATAAAATTTAACCCTAAATTCTAAATTAGAAATATGACAATATTAAAATTTTAAGAAATATTTTTTATTTAGGCGTGGACATAGAATTTTATATTAAATGTAAACTGAATATGACAATATTAAAATTTTAAGAAATATTTTTTATTTAGGCGTGGACATAGAATTTTATATTAAATGTAAACTTTTAACAAGTTATATCATAGATTTAGATTATACGAAATTATAAAATTTTAGGAGTTTTCAAAGTAAATTATGAATAAAAAATACTTAAATGATATGATAAAAAATTTAGTTAGTATAAAATGATTATAAGATAGTGTATATTCATAATTTTTCTTAGATATTGACAACACATATCTTATAGATGCATTTGTAACATTCATTCTCCATCACTAAGTTTACTTGAAAAAATTTAAACCATATAATAATTTAAATTTTATATAAAAAAAGGGATCAACACCTCACAATATATCCCTGTTTTCACCGTCCATTTATAATATAATGTCCTTCAATATATATATATATAAATTATTGTTGTCTTTTTTATTTAAAATATTTATTTATTTTGTTGCAGCTGTTTCTGGATGACAACGTTCGGAATATATCCGCTGGAAAGGCTATTGGCCTATGGACTTGTCTGGTAATTTCCATTTTAAAATAAAACAGAATTGAAATGAATAAATATTGATTTTAAATTTGAAATATATATACATATATATGAATTTTGCAAAATGAATTAATCTGAATATTTTGTGTTAAAGGTTGGAAAGACGGGTAAGACAAAGGAAGCGGATTATGCAATACAGGAAGTGAAGAAATTGGAGCAAGTGATACCGGAGATCTGGGGGAGCAAATCGGAGGGAAATCGGAGCGAATTACATGCAGATGTTCTTCTGGATCAGTTCAACATCTCCGGTGACCTAATTGAGAAGAAGGTGGGATTAGGACTTGCCGCCCCATTATGCACATAATTCATTCCAATAATCATGTGGATAATGTTAATTAATCATGTAAATTAGCATGTACATGTGCGTATCAAAATAGTCTCTAATGTGGGATAATGACATGATTCGCACTCCTCAACTTTGGGGTTTGTTCTAATGTGACCCCTCAATTCTCTAAATGTCAATGTAATATTTAAAGTTTGTATTTACTCTATGCTAATCAAATAAAAGAAGTTTGAATTTCATTATTAACATAGTCTTGATAATGGGGTTGAGATCTTATATGACGTGACACCTGAACCAATAGGGTATAACCAAGTGTCAATTTTGAGTTTTGACGCGTCAATAAATCCATCGTTTATGGAGACTGAAACACAATACAATAAAAAAACTATTTACTTTTAACAAAAGAAAATAGGAAGTATATGAAATACACCTTAATAAAATATTTATATTAAAAATATTATCGTTTCTCCTTTCATAATCTTCCTATATTATTCTTTATTGTTTGAAATGAGGTAAAGACTTGGAGATTTTAACAAGCAATTAAACAATTCTAAAAACTTGGCAATCTTCCTGGAGCCAAGATACATAACTATCATATGGTTATTCTTTAACCTCTTCATTTCCACTTTATCAAACACCACCTTCAATCCAAACACTCCAACATCTAATCGAACACGAAATTTCTTTAAATTGTTCCTAATTTCTACTGAATCTCTTTCATCTTCATCGATTCTTCTATATTGCCTATTTTAAAAGATCTTTGGATTTTGAGTTCGTCTTCTTTTGAGGAAGTTTACTGATTCTTAAGCTATTCTCTAATCAATTTTGTTTTTACGAAGCATGATTTTATTCATTTTGCCAAAAGAGGTTCAAGAATCAAGCTAGTTTTTTTTTTTCTTTCTTTTTAGAAAGCAAGAACATTAATGGTGATTTTAAGATTTTTTGAGTTAGCCGGAGAATTTAGATTGGTTTCAAATATGCCTTTTTTTGTGTGGATAAAGAGTTTCTTAGATGGGTTGTAAGAAAAGGAAACCGGATTTGTAAGAATCAATGAAGTCTTTCTAAAGTCGTTGAAGAGATTATTTGAAAAATCTCAAATCTAAGATTAACTTTTGTTAATTCTAATTTTAGTCATCATTTTAGGTTATTTAGAGATGATTAGAACAAACAATAACAAATCTGAACTAGTTAATTTTTCAACGAACTAGAGAAAGGTGATTGAATGAAAGAAATCATCGTAAATCTAATGAAATTTGATCTTGATTTGAAGTTTCAAAAAAGTCAAATGGAAAGGAGACTGTCAAGGGCTCATGAATGGAACAAAAAATTACAAATTATTATATATTTTAGATATTCTATTAATAATCTATTTTTACTCCTAAAATTTAAAAGTTAACCCCTTTACCTAAAATCTTACTTCCGTCATCAAGCGAAGACAATGTGAAAATTATACAGCAGAGTGAAAATGGCATTGGCATTAAGCTGGCGGACATACATGTACTTGTTAATGGCTTAAATAACACAATACCCCCACCAGCCCCCAAACAATAACTTACTTCGCACATTCTTTAAGATGCAAGTACAAAACTGCCACCTTTAGTAGTTTAGGGCTTCATACCTGTCTAGCTTTATTGCACATTCAATGTTTCTCTCTTCCTTCTCAGATTTTCTTCTTTTTTTCATGAAAAAGATATGCATGCAAAGAATGACCAAATTTACCTGCAAATACTTCAAATGATCATACACATCATGCGGCTGCAGATTGCTTGTTGCCGTGATCTTCAAGATTCAAAGCATGGAGCAGCTTCAACCATGACTCCGAGATGCCTCCTGGAAGATCGAATTCTAACAATTTCCCACGACTGCGGTAGAAATCCTCTACAGGTCGAGTCTGTGAAAATAAAATTTGAAAATGCATCAGACAATTCTTTCCCCTGTAATTACAGCTCCAAGGTCATATGGTTTTGAACCAATCGGGTAGATTATGTCTAGTAATTTTTAAACACGCGAATTGAACCCAAAAATTCACATGGATAGTAAACTAAATTCTCAACAATGCATTTTAGAGAAATACCGTCGACTGGTATATGCGGAGACGGTTCTTAACAACTTCTTCGGTATCATCAGGTCGAGTAATAAGCTTGGATGCACACTCGGGAGGAGGAGGAAGTGAACTCATGTGCATCCCAGGCCTCCCGTTCTCAGCCTTGATATCGATAGAAGCCAAATTATAGTTTCCTCCACATTCACTACAAATCCTTCTTCCAAGACATTTTGCAAGCAATGCTTCTTCCCGGAGTTTCAGGTTAATCACTAAGTCGATGTCCGTCACACCCTCTAATATTTCCTAGGAAATAAACATAATGAAATAGTAGACTACATGGTTAGGGATTAACTAGTAATTGGAACAAAATGCCATGGAGCTATTTTACATGATAAATATATTCAATAGTGCAACCATTACGCTTCCTGACAGAACACAAAAACAACACAAAAAACATACAGCTTTCCATATATAAGTGAATTGCAATTTCAGATTTGTCGATGAAACAAAAACTGCTAACAATATAGAAACTTCAACAGTATGAAATCAGCATGTTGTATTGCGATAAGATGCTATTCTTCAGAGTGTATACCAAACAAACAAACAAAAAACAGCATTCTCGACTATCCAATTTACTATAGGCCATGATGGCAAATTTATTTGTCATTGAGAACATAGGTAGAAGTTGTAATCTAGTTGCATAAGTATAACCTGGCAATACTGGACGTAATACATTATACATCATGAAAAAGAAACACGAACGCAAAAATTTTCACAATCTATATAAAACAAGAACACACGAATATGGCATGCTTCTAAAACCAACAGGAACCTGAATTTACACACGCTTTTAGCAAAACCTTCAGCAATAGCTATACAAAGGGGTAAATGCAGTACCCAATGCAAGTATTTTCCTACAATTTCTTTAAACACTGCCTTCACAAACATTCTTATTTCCCTGTAGTAAAGTTGAATTAAACTTTAGCAGAATACAAAATATTACAGAAAATTATCAAATGAAGCACCTACCGCTTGTCTTACTGTCCGAGGAAAACCATCAAGAATGAACCCCGATTCACCCTTAGCTTCTCCCTTTTCAAGACGTTTGGAAAGTAAATCTATTATAATTTCATCTGAAACTAATTTGCCCTGGTTAACAATCTCCTTTAGCTGCCAAGTGTATAATAATAAAAAAGTAAATTTAAATTTTTAAAAAAGATAAACTTCAACTCCAATTTCTTTTCTATCATGATCTTCAAATTGCAACAAAAGCAAAAACCAGTTAAACTTCTCCAAAAGGCGTCGAAAAACCCTCAACAAATTTATTATGGATCCATTTGATTATTGCTTTTACTACTTGTTTTTATTCAGGTTGATAATAAAAAAGAAGATTAAATATCTACAGAATCTGTGTACTATAGTAAAAAAATGCAATCTGCTCTGTGTATATTTGATATTTCATATTTGATGCAAACAAGTATAATCAATAACAATTTAAACGAAAATCCATCTAAAATGCTGACATGAACCCCAGGAATATGCCAAAACATATGTTCATGATAATTAGTTCTATTTATGGGTTTGTATTGTCAGATTTCAGTTCACATGAGCATTTAGGTGGTTTTCCATTAATAATTATTAAGTTACTTGTTTTCATTTACAGCTATCAAAATCGAAAGACTAAATTACTTAATCCTAAAGGAACTACAAAATTGACAACGATATTAATGAAAAACTGTTTAAAATGCTGACGAGAACTTCAGGGATCGACGAAACATGTGTCCTTAATACTTAATAGTTCTACTGTATCCTCAGATTCCGGAGTCCACATCAGCACTTAGGTTGTCATCAATGTTACTTTTCTGCTTGCAGCAATCAAACTCCATAGACAAGATTACTTAATGCTAAAGGTACAACCTGTATACTATGAGCTAAAAAATAACATTCATATGTATTGAAACAAAAACAAAACAAAAAAAACATTTATCAAACGGAATTAATTAAGTTAAAAATTAGCATAGATTTGAATACAATGATCCAAACAAGAAATTTATGCATTCACTTATTTACAAATAGAAAGCTTTTTAACTTTAATCATTCAAAAGTAAACTGAACCGTGAATTCTCTAAACAGAAGTAGATCGAACGATTTAAACTAATCGGTGATATATATATCCTCTTTTCAACATGCATTCAGTAAAAACAAACCGTTTTTTCACCTGAAAACGTGTTGAGAGGTTAAATTCAACTTTCTGTAAAAAAAATGGAAGACGAAACCTAACAGAAAAGATTGGACCTGAGAAGAAAGGGAACCAGAGGAAGCGAGCTCATCACGGACGAGATCACCGGTGGCGATGTGCGGAACACCGACAAGATTCGACAACCGAGAAGCATACGTTCCTTTGCCAACGCCGGGACACCCTAGAAACACCCACTGGACATTTCTACCCTTCGGTTCTCTCTTCAGAGTCCCCAATCCGGCCGGTTTATTACGGTTGAGGTCAGTTTCGGGATCAAGAGTCGAAGAAGAAAAGGAATGAAAGAGAGGTCGAATTACGTGAGAGAATGCTGCAACGGCGGCGGCGTTCGGCGATTTGACAGCCGTGGCGGCTCTGGAGCAACGGCTGAAAACCGCCATGGGAAAGGTAAGGGATTGTTTGGCTGTGGGGTTTGAACAACTTTTTAAAGCGAAATCGGAGTTCGTCCTTCGACTGAGGAAACGTGGACAACGTGTAAGAGTCTGACGTTTTGAGTTTGCCACGCGGATTTCTGTTTTATTTTCTCATTTTATTTCTTTAATTACTTTTTTATAAAATTAAATTACGTCAAAATATGAGAGAATGTAACGTATACATGAATGTAACGACGGTAACTTTCATAGATATCAAATAATTGCTAGCAACCAATTGAATTCAATGGTAAAAGAATTATTATTATTTTTTAAAATTTTAAATTTAAATTTATCAATGTTAAAAGTGTAAACGTTCAATGTCCAATGATTGAGAGTTATTTTTAAATAGATAATTCATTGTACTTACCATCGCATATTATAAAAAAACTATCAGTTACATACAAATAATATATGTATTAAAACTTGTTAGATAAAGGTGGTTCACTCGTTTAATTTAAATGGAGATTCGTAATGGTGCGACAACGATCATTAATCGTGTTTGAAGGAAGAAGATGATGGATTACCATGAGGAAGAAGGAAATGAATTGGCCATGAGCGGTCAATCCCTTTTTTCAGTCATGATTGGGATTATTTATAGTAACATTTAGTGTGTATGTTAGCCATAAAATCTTTGTGGTTATTTGTAGATTAACAAGTTATGTAAATCTAATAGTCAAACTTTGAATTCTGTTTTGACGTATTACGTAGGTTTGTAAGAGAACTTGTCTATCAAAGATCTTGTATATGCTTTGTTGTTGACTAAAAGTTTGTGTATAGAGGATGTAGGTCAGTCGGAGTCTCTGAGGTTTTCAGAGACCATCTCCGGAGGTAATAAGTTTGGTTTGTCTTTTGGTTTGTGCAAAGAGTCGATTACCATGAGGAAAAAGAAGGCTACACATGTTGCAGTATTGCACAACGATGGTTGCAGATACAAAGTTACTAGATATTTCTATTGCACCATAATGAAAGTACCCTAGTATTATTAGAGTGTAGCTCCTGGTTATATGAGCAGGAGTGAGAGATGTTTCTGCGATTGTTGGGCTTCCAAAGGCGTTTAGGACGTTTAATCTATCAAGTTGTCGAAGTGTATCTTCGCGCACTTGCACTAAAACTGTAAATTCAAGCGAAGCTATCTCAAGAAAATCATTTTTTTATCTGTTTCGGACCTTCGGTGCCCCTACTGTTGCGTTTGCCTGGTTCGTTGCTGGTAGTATTTGGCTCTGTTTAGGTGCTTTGGGTATTGGTAGCTGAAATGGTGAAATCCTTTCGATCCTGATTTGGCGGTTATTATTAGGGTTTTCAATTTCCTTGCTTGCTTGGGGGTCACGTGTTCTGGTTATAGCTGCTGTGGGAGCTGTTGTGCGAAAGGTGGGATTGTAGTGTGGTGTTTTGTTTCCATTCTACTTTTGTCTTGTTTTTGCTTAATTATTTACTTAATTTTTATTATTCGTTTATTTTGTGTGTTATTGTTATTTATTACAATTATTATTACTAATATCTTTTATATTTCATTTATTTTAAAAACTTGCATTACTTAAAAGATTTTTCCTTTTTAAAAATACCTCTATAAATATCTTTTTATATAGAAAAATATGATTTTAAGCATTCAATCCTACATAGTCCAAGTTAACCGACGATAAATTTCTCTCTTTTATGCAAGCAGTGTTAGAAAGAAAAATATTTTTGAACCCAAAATTAATTTCGATAAAGATATTTTCAGATAAAAATAACAAGGAGCTTTAAATTTTATAAATGAATTTTCGATAAGGATTTTTTTTTTATTAATATGGAGTAAATATATAAGTTATTATATGTTCAATAATAAATGCTCATGCACCCTGCGTACACGGTGTTCATACCAAGAACATCAAGAGATGAGGTCACACGATTTACGCCTTAAGTCTCTTATATAAATCTCACTTTAAAATGAAACAAATAAATGTTTAAATATCATTTTATTTAATTTTGATATATGGTTTTTACGTTTATTTCACTAAATTTATTTATATTTTTTTACAAATATTATCTAAAACTCGAACAAAAAAATAAATATTAACATATCATCGTAATTTTATCCAAAACTCGATTAGTCCAACATGTTGCTTTTTCAATCGAAAATTTACTTTTAGTAGAATTTGCTCAACGAACGGTCTGTTGAATGGGTAATTAGTAAGTATGAAGTCATTTTCAGTAGATTCAAATCCAAATGTATTTAATAGTTTAAATTGGCATATTGAGTGATCCACAATACTTGTCCAACTTCGTACTCATATCCATCAATATATAAGTTTTGACTTTTCATTTAATATAGCTATTCCCTTTACAAGCCTCTTCGAATATATATATTGATTGTTGTTCGTTTAATTTGATAATTGATTTAATAAAAATGATATTGAAATATTATATCATAACAATTTTAATCTTAAAACTTAAGCATTCTATTAATTTAATTATAATTTCAAATAATTCAAGAAACTTGACGTGCTATCATAATATTGGAGAAAAAAAAAACAAAAGTACTTGAAAATGATGATCAAGAATCAAACCTAAAACCTTAGAACACAATAAACTCAACCACTGAGCTAAGCTCAATTATTGATAATTTTTGGCAAACTACATGTTTACTAAATCATTTCAAATTAAAAGAGAGCGGCACAGATAAAATTTTTAAATATTAAAGATTTATTAAATCATTTCAATTTTAAAATATATAAAATTTGAAAACTAATTTATTATTATACAATTGTAAAAACACATAACATTAAATATGATTTATTATTATATGAACCAAACGATCTCGGTGATAAAGGAATTGTTGTTATTCCTTGAAACCTCAATTCAAACATCAAAAATACCAAGAGTGTAAACATTCAATGTCAAATGGTAGAGAATTGTTTTTGAACAAATATTATCTTGTATTTACCCCAAATTAATAAAAAAAATATTGATTTGTCATTTTATGAAATTTAAAATCATTATAATTCAACGTTTTTACACAACTTTTGGTACTTCATGTGAAATTTAATTTTTAAATCTATATTCAAACACGGGTATTTGGGTACAACCCTATAAACAAGTCGAAGAAACTACTTAAAAACCGAGCATTCTCGATGTAGGACCATACCCATATCCAAAATCCGAGTAACAAATTTCTATCACCATACTAGAAGGCAGTTTTGGTAACTTACAAGCTACAACATCAACTTGTTTAGGGAAAAGTAAACATGACTATTCATGTGCATCAACAGATAAACAAACAACCGTACACTTCTCAGCTTGCAAAACATGGTTTGATCTAAATCCAAGCAAAAACATCAAAAATACAATAGGTCTGCCCCATGGGATCCATAAAGCAAATAATGCTCAAAAGAGATGGCCTAAATCACATCACAAACACACACACACACACACATATAAACTTACATTATAACTTCACTTCCTATTTTTGTTGTTAAGAAAATCTTGCATGGGCGAAAAACTTGAAAACGCAAACTGAACTAGGCTTTGCCGGAATGTGATACATGTCATTCAGCTACATATGATCAACCTTGTCGTCGTCCCCACCGATTCCATCCCCAGCATGCCTGTGACCAAATTAATTAAGCAGATACAACTTTAGATATACATGTATAAACTGAATACTGATAGTATATTTCTATGGTTACTCGGATTAGGTTTAAGTGCCAGGCATGGTATGCATCTGACAATGGCATGGCTAGATTTTTCTAAATTTTTCAATATATTTGGAGCATCCTAGGAGGTCATATTTACCAGGGTCGGACACGGATACTCCAAGGAACATAGGTTACATGACTAAGGTGACATGTTTTACACAATTTAAAATAACGTTACTCATTACAACAACCTCATTTCAAATTCATCCGACAAATAAATAAATACAAAGTGATCCAAGGTTTCAGAGATGCATTAGTCTTCCTACTACTAGATAAAAATGCAATTTATTATAACACCAGGGAACGAAAGATAAAAAACATTCATCTCCATGCCAAATATCAGAACAATCTCATCCAGTGGAACTTTCACCTAAAAGCTTTAAAAGGTCTGTGATGCCAATGTTTCATATTAATTCCTAGTAAACATCAAACCAGTACGCAAAGTTTCATTTTAGCAGGGTTGAGAGACAAACCGCCAAGAAGAAGTTAAATTCCTGGCCTTCCTGTCCAACTGAAGATTTTCAAGGGCAGTTGAATTTCGAATCACGTCTTCTGAGAGATCATCATCATATCTCCAACTATACTCGTCTTTCCTGTAACCAGACATGGAAGAGCCTGCTCTTCTATCTATATGCCAAAGTTATCATATGATGGAAACAACAATAAAGTAGATATGTGAACGTTAAAACAACATATAACATAATCACTTTACCAGATGACTGCGAAACAGAGACCGGCCTGTCATAAAAATGCTAAAAATAGTCAGCTTTTAGCAGTATTATGAAGAAAAATGGGAAACGATAAAGATGAAGAAGCGGGATATGGCATTAGTCCAGCACCTGCCCAATGGAGGCAAGCCCCCAGCAACAGCAGATGATGAGGGCCTTCTTGTGTTGCGAGACTCTGAACTAGATGAAGACTCAATTTCGTGTGATCTCCTTCCAGTTCCTCGTGCTTGGGATAAGTTCTGAAAAATGTGATTGGTAGCCATGAGCATGTTTTCCACATGTATAAATTATTTGAACATTTAAATATGAAAAGACGTCATCATGATGTAGGGTAACATTGCAGATATCTAACTACCAAAAACTTGGTGATATGAATCAAATCTCACTTCTGTACATGTCAAACTCTCCCTGGTATGACGAAAGCAGAAACTCGATGCTTACAATACAAGAAAATAGATAGTTCTGAGTAAAGCCTCATATTTAGGACCTTGAAAAGAAACCCTCAAGTCCCAAGTGCTAGAATAATCCTGATTGATATCAGTCTTAGCTTCACACATCCAAGTCCTCCTGAGAACCCTTCGCACTCAAG